CATTAGGTTATTTTTTGATTGGTTTTCACTTTAATATTGAACAAGTATGGGTAGTATGGGTGGCGTTCGCGGCTAAAGCGTCGTCTTTCACCACTGTGAGTCCAACGCAACGGGTCGGGTCGCTGGTTCGAGCCCTGCGGTCGCCACATGTGAATTGAGTTTGTTTGATGTGTTGTTCTCTACTATGCTACGAGGGTTTTCTCCGGGTTCTCCGGTTTCCTCCCTCCGTAAAAATCAACATGTGAGTTGAGCGTTGTGTGCATAGAATATTAAATGTAGTGGTAGTGCGTGTGAGCGAAAAGTGTCCCCAATTAGTGCGAAAAGCGCTAGAACGACTAGACACTTAAATAAAGTGATTTATTTATTTTTATTTTATTAAGTACACAATTCTGATCTAAGTATACTTATATTTACAAGTTTATCACACTATTAGAAAGAGACATTTCTATTTCAGTTCGAACCAATTGTTCGAGGTTCAATAAATTTTTCTCTCAACTCCAAGTTCAAAAAATCTTTACATGTAATATCTCAGTACTTCTAAAATAAATAAATTACATCATGGTTAGTTCGCTTGTACGGTTTTTATTCACTCGTTGTGAAGAATCAAACTCACTCGCTCGCTCACTAACCATGAAGTAATCTCTATTTATTGAATGGCATTTTTTTAAACTTTTTAATATTTCAATTAACATACGTTTACGATTGGGATTACAGTTTGTTCATTTCAAACGTGGGAATGGTTGTTTCTAGTTGGTAGAGCGGTAATTTCTTTTAACTTAGTCCGTGCTAAGTTTCATTGACGGAAGCCAAACTCCAAACGTGTGAAGCCGTCTATGTCGCTTAATTTTGAAAATCCGCAAATTTTTGAAAGTTGCGAAATTAAAGTGTCGCGAAAATTCCATGCAATGTAGTTTTAAAATCGTAATAAGTGCTTTTACGAAAGAGTTTGAGATAAAGGATCACAGCTGAAATACGAATTTGCCAAGTGAGAGTACAGACTCTTGATAATTTGGAAAACACACAACACCAACATCATTAGTGTGATCGCAGCCAGACCAAACCTGTCCCCATCCATTGTGAGTACAGCTTCCAAGTGAGGCCTCTGAGCCTGAGCACTGCATGCTGTACAACCATATTCTACCCGTCCCATGTCCATAGTACATAGGTCCTAGAGTTTTAGAAAAACCAAGTTGACGACATGCAACCTTGGCGTCATCCATATCCCAGCTACCTTGACATTGTTCCCCATTGACCCTGGTAATACACCTTTACTAAGCCTATATAAATAGCACTAACGTTYTTCTAGTTCAATTGAGATTTTCAAACTTCTTAGTTTGAAGAATATTACTTTAGTAAAGTTCCAATGAGAACATTCGCTAACACAAAGAATATCAATTTTGTGTAGGTCGAAGTAAGCCTTCTTGGAACCGTTAAACCTAATTTATAGATATAACGAAAGAGAAAACTATTGGGTTTTTATTACAAAATTACCATACACATGTAATATCGGAGGTCGTTGATTTAGTAACTCCCTTAACATAAAAGGATACGTATATAATTTACTCCTTACACCTTTTCTAGGTGTAGCTCGATTGCATTTGATATTCAAAACAATTCTCACAAAAAGTGCAAGACTCCTGCTATTCCGTTCGTCCTTGCCGTGTGTTCTCTACCACGTGTAATGAAMAATWWGAGCTGGCGTGAATGSAATTKTGCGCAGTCAGGAATAGRCYWCATAATGTGCAATTRSCCACAAGCGRCAATGGAAGGCTATGCCAAGGCAAATTGGAAGTTTCCTTCAAACTTTATTCTGCCCTCTGTTTTCTACATTGAGTTATTTCTGGGTTTTGCACAGAAAGTTTTGCTTTACAGGCCCTGTTTATAAATCCCGTCGCGAGAAAATCCGTCACGGATGGGAAAAAGTTAGTGCAAGGCAGAAGGGAGAAGATTACGAAAAGATGCAAGTGTGAAGTCTTCGCGTTTTGTCTTTTTTAGATATAGTATTTTTCATTACAACCGTAAATGTGGAATGCAGACTGGAAAACTGAGACGCCAGTAAATTAAATCTCATATTGTTTGAATTTCGAGCAAAGAGTTTGATTTATGTCTCGTTAGTTCTAAATGGTACTTTACCGATGAAATAAATAATGCGCGCTTGTTGTGTCCAGTTATAAAGCACATAGTCATTGGCAGAAGGAGATGGCCCTTAGCGAATGTTTTTCAACACTTCTCTAGTGATCGACGGAACCCAAATGCTTTATACCTGTACATAGTACAGCAAGCATTGTTTATAAAAAAATAATGAAAATTAGAAAGAAAGAAGAAACAAAAACAAAAAATCAATTAGAACCGTCATTTTGGATATGAATGACGAACTAGGGGCGTGCTCTCCAGAGGACCACGCCTAACTCGAAAACGAGATTTATAACAATTATTTTATGAATCCTTTTAATCTATAGAGTGTGAAGTTCAATATCAACTGGTTTTTTCCACAGTTCACCGTTAATCATAAATGTTAGTACAAACATTTTGCAATACTTACAGAAAATCATTTAGATACATGAAAAAAATAAATAAATAAAAACAAACAAACTAGGATACAAAAAGCAGCATCTTGTTGCTTACTGCAACCAAGGTTGCAAGGTAAGACCTCCCCATCCGAAGTGAGAGCAACTCTGAAGTGCAGAAGTGAGCCTTGTTCGTAGAGAAAACGCCCGGCTACAGCAGTATTCACTGTGAAGCATTGATATGCATTAGATACCAATGTAAGAACAGGACAGGACAGCAGCATCATATTGGTGAGTACTGTAGCAAGAGTTCACGTCTCCCCATACATTGAGAGGACAGCCCTGAAGTGAAGACTCTGAGCATTGTCAATAGAGCTAAGGTCCTGCTGCAGCAGTATCAAATTTGCCCTCTTTTTGATTCGCTTGTAATACCTTGCATATTAATAAACCTTTACGAGTGGTATAAACATACAAACCTATACTATATATTCAATATTGAATCCCCAGCAAAAGGTTTACCATCTGAATCTGTTGCCTTAGGTTAAGTCACATATAAGCCCACATTCGAGAGACTTGGTGGTGTTAATGTGTTGCTTAATCAAATACGAATGTTGAATAATATATGCCAATTGCACTTGTTTGCTATGGGTTGCTTTGATCCTAGTTGTACCTTCATCTCACTGATCTTCACAGTTTCCAGTTGATTAAATTTGCAGTGATTAAAGTTAGTTACATCATAGGTCATAGCATGTCTATCTAGCAATGTGAGTGATCTTATCATGAATTCTGACAAAAAGTCATGCGCATTGGATCCATTGCCGACTAATCTGGTCTTCGAATCAGTAGATGTTTTACTGCCGGTGATCACGAATATGGTAAATGCATCTCTGTCCACTGCAAATTTTCCTGGCGAATGGAAGAAAGCGATTGTGAACACTTTACTTAAAAAGGGTGCCAAGGATACTTCTCACAAGAACCTGCGTCCAATTACTAATCTACAATTCGTCTCCAAGATTACTGAAAGAGCAGTATTTGATCAAATGTACAACCATGTTATAGCCAATGAACTGTTTCCTGTATTGCAGTCTGCATATAGGAAATCACACAGTACGGAGACGGCGCTGCTGAAAATAGTGAATGACATCCTACTTGACATGAATCGTCAACACGTGTCTTTGATCGTACTGCTCGATTTAAGCGCAGCGTTTGATACGGTGGACCATACCATCCTCCTACGCCGCCTAGAGATGTCGTTTGGTGTCACTGGAGATGCACTCAAATGGTTCGCCTCCTACTTGTCAGATCGCTCTCGGTGTGTTGTGGTTGATGGGGAAACGTCAGACAGATCTTATCTATCATTTGGTGTTCCCCAGAGGTAGAGCTGTTTGAAGTCATCAAGACCCATCTTCCAAATATTCACGCATACGCAGATGATACTCAACTCTACTTATCATTCAAGCCAGACAGTTCCGTGTTAAGGCTGTGAGGGCGTGGATGGTTGTTGATAAATTGAAATTGAATGAAGATAAGTCAGAGTTCATGCTCATTGAAACTCGCCAGCAACTTAGTAAAGTTAGAACTGATAGTCTCTTAATTGGCAACACTCATATACTATCAGTTAGTGAAGCTAGGAATCTAGGTGTCTGGTTTGATTCTATAATCTCCAACTTCAAAATCATATAAACACGACGTGTCAGTTAGCTTTCTATTCACTATATAATATTAGACGTATTAGGAAATACTTGCCTTTCGAAGCTGCAAAAACTTTAGTGCAAGCTTTAGTTATAAGTCGCATTGATTATTGCAACGCTATATTATATGGTCTGCCAGCTATTCATATTCATAAATTGCAACGCATTCAAAATGCAGCCGCTAGGTTACTGACAAACACACCGCGATATGCTCACATCACTACTGTCATGATAGAACTTCATTGGCTACCTGTCAAATTTAGGAATATATTTAAGATAAATTTAATAACTTTCAAAGTTTTACACGGTCTAGTACCAGTGTATCTTTGTAAACTTTTATCTTTCAAAGAACATTTCAGATATAATCTAAGATCTAATAGTAATAACACTCTCGCTCGGCCAAGACCACTGAAGATAGAGCCTTTCCAGAGGTTGCCCCAGTTTAATAAGGAACGCTTTGCCACCAAGCCTTAGGGCTGAGGACAAAATTACTAGATTTAAAAAAGAATTGAATTGATTTAGGCAGGCCTATATTTTTAATTTTTAATTAAATTCTGAGATCGGAGTAAATGTGAGTTTTGGTAAATTTAGTTCATTTAGTGACGTTTATTTTGATTTTCTATCTGTAAATATAATAAATAGGACTACATGATTTTAGATATAGTTTGATTCTTAATGATTGTAAAGATTGTAAATCGCATTAGATCTTATATTTTAATGAATTTTTGCGCTATATAAGTAATTATTATTATTATTATTATTATTATTATTATTATGTCTGCTAGTAATACCGCATTTGCCATTATACAACACCAGCATCCCTTGTGTGACCATTGCAGTGCGTAGGGTCAACATTTCCCCATCCATTGTGATTACAGCTTCCAAGTGAGGACTCTGAACCAGTACATCGCATTTCGTCTAGCCATATCTTGCCTGTCCCTCGTCCCCAATACGAATGTCCCACAGTTTTGGTAAAACCAAGTTGACGGCATGCAACCTTGGCATCTGGCATATCCCAGCCATAATGACATACTGTTCCCCATTGACGCTGGTGATAAACCTCTTCGAACGGTAGACGTATTCAACACTATATACTATAATACTCTCATGATGAAAGACGTCCTCATCCCAAGGATGTGCAATGGTCAGTTCTACTATTCTACAAGACCGAAAAGCTATTACCCTGAATAGTTATCGTTGCTCCCTCTCTAAGATTAAAAGTCGAAGGCGTTGCAGAGAATTTATAGCAGCTGACACTTGAAGATAAGAAAAGACTACGTTAATTTGCGAAGAAACAAGGAAGAAACGGGTACGTAATTTGCCTCACGCAATATATATATAGCTGTTGCGCCAATTTCATTGAAAGGTTCAACTGTTGCAACTGCTTATGACCGTTACTGGTGAAAAACAAAACGCAGGATCAGTAGAGGAATCAGTGGAGTTATTGAGTATTCCTGCCGCACGGGATGTCGTTGCTGTGAGTGATGCTCAACCTGGGTTCGATTAACCTTTTCTTGTTTGTACGTTTGAAACATCTTCTAGAAAAAATTGCTTGATATCATGATCCATACAAGAACAAATGCACACGACACCAGCATCATCCTTGTGATTATTGCGCCAAGAGTAAACATTTCTCCATCCATTGTGAGAACAGCTTCCAAGTGAGGCCTCTGAGCCTGAACATCCCATGCCGTACAACCATACTTTGCCCGTCCCTCGTCCATTGTACGAAGCTCCTACAGTTTTGGTAAAACCAAGTTGACGACAGGCAACTTTAGCATTATTCGTGCCCCAGCTACCAACACACACTGTTCCCCATTGACTCTGGTGATACACTTCTACGAGACATATATAGATTAACCTTTTTTAGCTGTCTTTTTACAACGACTTATTTATATTTCTCATACTCCATTCACGCCAAAACGTGTTTAGTTAAACTAGGGTTTTCTAAATTCTATAATATGCGAGCATTTAATGTCAATGGAATAAAACTGAACTGAAACTAAATCTGAAACTTACGTTTGACACAATGGATCGACGGTTACAAAGAGTTTGTAAAAGGTTGCATTGCAGTTTTCTTTTTTAATTTTCTAAACCCGTTCAGTTAAACCACTTTAAATCGTGTTTTTACACTTGGTGTGAACGGGGCACTACATCAAATACTACATAAAAGAAATATAATAATACTACATAAGAGAAATATCGCCCTAAGTAAATTTATTTTTTTTATAAACAACTCAAAAATCTATGAAATCTATATAAAATCACGGCATTTAATAGGCAGCCAATGTTTATATTGCCGCTGAAAATGGAAAGCTTATAAAGTCCAAACAATAATCAGCATTTTCGCAAAAGACTCTKAGATCAAGGATCAGAGTGGTATTTTCGCAAAAAGAAAACTATAGACTATGGATTATATATTAAAAAAAACACACGACACCAGCATCAATAGTGTGATCGCAGCCAGACACACGTCCCCATCCATTGTGAGTACAGCTTCCAAGTGAGGCCTCTGAGCCAGAACATCCCATGCCGTCCAGCCATATCTTACCCGTCCCTCGTCCATACCCCGAAGGTCCTACAGTTTTGGTAAAGCCAAGTTGACGGCATGCAACCTTGGCATCATTCATACTCCAGCCATATTGACATACTGTTCCCCATTGACCCTGGTGATAAACCTCTTCGAACCTTAGAAGTATTCAATACCATATTTTGAGGCTAAATCCTCAACAATTGTTTTGTTATGTTTCTTCTTTTACTTCCACTTTTTAACCTTTTTACTTCCGCTTTGTCACGTGTTTGTTTGTCCGCTAATCAGCTAACGCGGGCGCGAGTGTGTAGCGCGTTCGTTTTGCAGAGAAGTTTGTTCATCGATTGTTGAGTGAATTTTCTTTATTTTTGGCCTTTTTATGCTCTTTATTTTGCTCGCTTAGGATTTTACTGAGTTCTAGCTGAATCTTGATTACCTTCTGTGTCGAATAACTTGAAAATAAAGTGAAACCTTTCGATGGACGTTTACGTTGTGATTTGTGTTCTACGCCGCTACACCAACGAATCCTTCACCATATATCACAATCCTCTCGTGATGAAAGACGACCTCATCCCAAGGATATGCAATGGCCAGTTCTACTATTCTACAACACCAAAAAGCTATTTCCCTGAATGGCTATCGTTGCTCCCTCTCCAAGATTAAAAGTCGAAGGTGCTGCAGAGACAGCTGACACTTGAAGATAAGAAAAGACTACGTTAATTTGCGAAGAAATAAGGAAGAAACGCGTAATTTGCCATACATATATAATATATATAGTTGTTGCGCCAATTTCATTGAAAGATTCGACTGTTGCAACTGCTTATTACCGTTACTGGTGGGTCAAAACGCAGGATCAGTAGAGGAATCACTGTAGTGTTATAAAGTATTCCTGCCGCACGGGATGTTGTTGCTGTGAGTCATGCTCGACCAGGGTTCGACTCACCTTTTCTTGCTTGTACGATTGAAAAATCTAGAAAAATTGCTTGATATCATGATCCATACAAGAACAAATGCACACGACACCAGCATCCTCATTGTGATTATTGCATCCATAGTAAGCGTTTCCCCATCCATTATGAGAACAGCTTCCAAGTGAGGCCTCTGAGCCTAAACATCCCATGCGCTCCAGCCATACTTTACCAGTCCCTCGTCCATTCCACGAAGGGCCTACAGTTTTGGTAAAACCCAGTTGACGGCAAGCAACCTTAGCTTCTGGCATATCCCAGCTACTTTGACATACTGGTTTTGGAACTTCATAACTAGCAGTATTGACTATCAAATACCGATAAGCATGGCACACTGAAATAATAATATAGTTCATATAACTTAAAAGCACGGCGTTTGGTTTATTTGATCGCCTTCCAATGCTCTTGTTACTGAAATTGAGAAGGTTATACCTTATTACATAAAATTTTCGGGACAAGTTAATTTCGTTACTTTGAACGACATTCCAAGTCACTTTAATTTCGCGATCTCATAAAATGCAAGAGTTAATTACCGAGAACGGAGGCAATAACCCATAGTTCGAGGTGATTAATTATTTTATTTATCAATTGAGAAGGTTTACTATTAAATGTTGCTCATTATGAATGCGAGGTCTATATATAGTTATTAACAGGGTTAATAACTAACTATATATTGACCTCGCATTTATAATGAGGGTTATAACAAAAATAAGGCCTTGTGAATAACAAAGAAAACCGTGACAATTAAGAAATAAATGCCAATAGTTATTCCTGACTGGGAATAAATGCAACAAATTAATCGATAACCTTGAAGATCAGGTATGAAAACAAACTCAAACATATTTATTGAATGGCATTTTCTTAAACTTTTTAATATTTCAATTAACATAGGTTTACGATTGGAATTACAGTTTGTCCATTTCAAGCGTGGCAATGGTTGTTTCTGATTGGTTGAGCGGTAATTTCTTTTAAGTTAATTTCTTTTAAAATTCCAAACGTCAGAAGCCGTCTAGGTCGCTTAATTTTAAAAATGGGTGTAAAGTGACGAGAGATATGAGTGAGCCCCCATGATGCATATTTAAATAAGTATTGAATTTAATGAAAAGCACGAATTATTACTTCTTGTTGTTGTTGTTGTTGTTACCGTTAATTAATCAGTAAAGTCGTTTGGTTCAAGGATACTGTGGATTTGAATTATACAGGTAATTAATAAGTCTTCTAGATAATCAGTATTTGAGCGAGCCATGATCATATAGCAACTTGAAATAGCTGTCGAGTTGAGCGGAATTTCTTTGAACTCGGCCATTCCAGTAACTTTGATTGACGGAAGCCAAAACTCCGGATCATGACGAATATGGAGCCGTCTAGGTCGCGTAATGAGTGTAATTTCGCAAATATTTGAAAGTCGCGAAATTAAAGTGTCGCGAAAATGTCATGTAATATTGTGGTCTTAAAATCGTAATAAGTGCTTTTACGAAAGAGTCTGAGATAAAGGATCACAGCAGTATTTTGCCGAAATACGAATTTGCCGAGTATATTTATCATATCATGACCGTGAAGGACTCTGAGCATTGCCAATAGAGCTAAGGTCCTGCTGCAGCAGTATCCACTGTCAAGCATTGAGATTTGGTACCAATGCAATAACAAATGACACGACACCAGCATCATATTGGTGAGTATTGCAGTAAGAGTCAACACTTCCCCATCCAGCATGAGGACAGCTGCCAAGTGATGACTCTGAACCTGTACATGCCATGTTATTTAGCCATACTTTACCCGTACCTCGTCCACGACGCGAAAATCCCACAGTTTTTGTGAAACCCATTTGGCGACATGCAACCTTCGCTTCCTCCATATACCAGCCATTATAACACACTGTACCCCATTGACCCTAGTGATACACCTCCACAAGACTCTTACGGGAAAAACTGCTTTATTATGAGAAAAAATGCTAAATAGTTTATTTACCAGTGTAGAACACATCTAATAAACCTTTACGAGTGGTATAAATATACGAAGCTATACAATACAATATTCAACATTGAATCCCCAACAAAAGATTTACCATCTGAATCTGTTGTCTTAGGTTGCTAAGTCACATATAAGCCTAAATTCGATAGACTTGGTGGTGTTAATGTGTTGCTTAATCAAATACAAATGTTGAATAGTATATGCAAACTGCGCTTGTTTGCTATGGTTTTGTTTGATCCAAGTTGTACCTTGATCTTACCGATCTTCACAGTTTCCAATTGATTAAATTTGCAGTGATTAAAGTTAGCTACATCATAGGTCAAAGCATGTCTGCTAGTAATACGGCATTTGCAATCATACAACACCAGCATCCCTTGTGTGACCATTGCAGTAAGAGTGAACGTTTCCCCATCCATCATGAGAACAGCTTCCAAGTGAGACCTCTGTGCCTGTACATCGCATTTCGTCCAGCCATATCTTGCCTGTCCCTCGTCCCCAATCTGAAGGTCCTACAGCTTTAGTAAAACCAAGTTGACGGCATGCAACCTTGGCATCAGGCATATCCCAGCCATAATGACATACTGTTCCCCATTGACCCTGGTGATACACCTTTTCGAACGGTAGACGTATACAACAACATATGCCATTATACTCTCATGATGAAAGACGACCTTATCCTAAGGATGTGCAATGGTCGGTTCTACTATTCTACAAGACCGAAAAGCTATTTCCCTGAACAGTTGTCGTCGCTTCCTCTCCAATAATAAAAGTCGAAGGCGTTGCAGAGAATTTATAGCAGCTGACACTTGAAGATAAGAAAAGACTACGTTAATTTGCAAAGAAATAATGAAGAAACGGGTACGGAATTTGCCTCACGCAATATATATATAGTTAAAGTTATTGCGCCAATTTCATTGAAAGGTTCGACTGTTGCAACTGCTTATTACCGTTACTAGTGAGAAACATTACGCAGGATCAGTAGAGGAATCAGTGGAGTTATCAAGTATTCCTGCCGCACGGGATGTCGTTGCTGTGAGTAATGCTCGACCTGGGTTCGATTAACCTTTTCTTGTTTGAAGATATAGAAATATAGATAAGTTATAGTGCTTAGGAACGAGGTTATTCCGGGCGAAAGACCCTTGGAATTAAATTCGGAAAAATTAATTTCCGACCTCGCTGGGAATCGAACCTACGTCCTTCGGAATTGTACTACCGATGCTCTACCAGCTGAGCTAGAGGTCAGAATGAGAGCAGGCCGGGGTGAAATAGATGTTAGGTAGCGGTAATTATGATGCAAAGATGTTTGTACGTTTGAAACATCTTCTAGAAAAATTGCTTGATATCATGATCCATACAAGAACAAATGCACACGACACCAGCATCATCATTGTGATTATTGCACCCAGAGTAAACATTTCCCCATCCATTGTGAGAACAGCTTCCAAGTGAGGACTCTGAGCCTGAACATCCCATGCGATACAGCCATACTTTACCCGTCCCTCGTCCTTTCCACGAAGGGCCTACAACTTTCGTAAAACCAAGTTGACGGCACGCAACCTTGGCATCATTCGTGCCCCAGGTACCATAACACACTGTTCCCCATTGACCTTGGTAAAACATATATGAATAGCACTAACTTAGTTCTTCTAGTTCATTTGAAATTTTTAAACGTCTTAGTTTGAAGACTATTACTTTAGTAAAATTCCGATGAGAACATTCGCTAGCACAAGGAATATCAATTTTGTGTAGGTCGAAGTAAGCCTTCTTGGAACCTTTAAACCTAATTTATAGATATAACAAAAGAGAAAATTATTGCGTTTTTATCAAATAATTACTATACGCATGCAAAATCAGAGGTCATTGATTTAGTAACTCCCTAAATGTAAAAGGATACGTTTATAATTTACTAACTAGCATATGCAGTTACGTTTACCAATGAATGCACAAGATGCTTTTAAAAATACACAGTAGATAAAAGAAATTATTGGCCATCTACATCCACATTATGTTTTTCTTTATTGTTATATAATTTGGGATTTTAAATATTCGTTTTCATTACGCAATTTATTATGAAATTTGTCTACCATTTCATACTGATACTGGGTGCGTTTCCACTAGGACATTTTAAACTAGTTTAACGAAAAAATACCGGAAACACCAGTGGAAACGACTCCGAACTAAGTTAAGCTAGTTTAATTAGTCAACTGTTTACACGCAAAAAAAAAGCCGAGTTTAGTTGCTTTAACTCCGGAAATGACACCTTTGATAAGCGACCTAAAAAGATGGCTTAAGTTGGACTACCGCCGGCCGTGACCAATCAGAGCTCACCATTTGACAATTTGCTGTCAAAATGTTTATCTAGATTAACACCAGAAAATCTAGAAAAGCACCAGAGGGAAGAACGTGGGCTCTGTCTCGTGTTCTATCCTAACCTCAGATTGCGAAGAAATCGATTTCGCTTTCTCAAGAATAAAGTAAATGTTAAAAGCAGCGTTGTAAACACAAGCGCGTCTTCTCCCGCCACTTTTTGAATCTCGCGCTATGTATGGTAATGTGATCTATCTAGTTTAAAATCACCTCAAATTACATAATGGGAACAAGCTGCACATTTATGCTAGTTTAAGCTGGTATGTAAACAAACACCTTTAATTTTAAACTACCAAAAATGTCCTAGTGGAAACGCACCCACTATTTCCTAGGTGTGAAGCTAGATTACATTTGATATTCGACTATTACTTAATAGAAACTATTATACTCCGAACATATCTACAGAAAACGTCCTACCTTAATAACCGATTTTCCGGGTTAGGTAAATTATTCACCGTTACGACGGCAAGATTACGCGTTCGTTAAGTCTGATTAAGTTGCAAAGTCAATTAAAGCCTGTTTGTTTCCCTTCCATAATCTCCTCTTCATAGCCATTCGATTTGGGCATACTATCATCTATATCACAATCGTACTAAGCATGCAGTAGCCATGCATTCCCTTTTCATCCTCATATCTGTATGATAAAATTTACTTCATTTTTATTATTGGAGAGGACAATCAAATTTGCCCTCTTATTGATTCGCTTGTCATACCTTACATGCTAATGAACCTTTACGAGTGGTATAAACATACAAACCTATACTATATATTCAACATGAAATCCCAAACAAAAGATCAACCATCTGAATCTGTTGTCTTAGGTTGCTAAGTCACATGAAAGCCCACATTCGAGAGACTTGGTGGTGTTAATGTGTTGCTTAATTAAATACAAATGTTGAGAAATATATCCCTACTGCACTTGTTTGCTATGGGTTGCATTGATCAAAGTTATATCTTGATCTCATCGAGCTTCAAAGTTTCCATTTGATTAAATTCAGTGATTGAAGTTAGTTACTTCATAGGTCATAGCATATCTGCTAGTAATACGGCCTTTGCCATTACACAACACCAGCATCCCTTGTGTGACCATTGCAGTAAGAGTAAACGTTTCCCCATCCATCGTGAGAACAGCTTCCAAGTGAGACCTCTGTGCCTGTACATTGCATTTCGTCCAGCCATATCTTACCCGTCCCACGTCCATACCTCGAAGGTCCTACAGTTTTGGTAAAACCAAGTTGACGGCATGCAACCTTGGCATCGGGCATATTCCAGTTATAACGACATACTGTTCCCCATTGACCTTGGTGATACACCTCTTCGAGCTCTAGAAGTTATCAACACCATATACCATAATACTATCATGATGAAAGGCGACCTCATCCAAAGGATGTATAATGCTCAGTTCTACTATTCTACGAGACCGAAAAGCTATTCAACTGTGTGGCTTCACCAATTCCGCGCGTTGTCTATCCTCGGTTAATAAACGTCTCTAGGAGTCAACGCGTGAGCTTGTTTGACTGTAATATGCGACCTTCTTTGGAAAGAGTGTAAGACAACACTTTGGGACAAAAATAAGTAAGAAAAGGGTAATATGCATCACGCCGTATATATCTATATAGTTGCTGCACAAATTTCATTGCCAGGTTACATTGCTGAAACAGCTTATCCTTGGCAGAGCATACGACGCTGATGGAAACAACTCGACGGATCAGCAAAGGGATCAGTAGTGCTATTAGGCTGTAAAGGATGTTTTCGTTGTAAGACATACAATACGCAGGGAGCGATTCACCTTCTTTGTTGTTTGTGTTTCAGAAACATCTTCTAGTGAAGAACAATGTGACGGCGAATAATTTAAAAAGATTGCTTGCCAAACGACACCAGCATCATCATTGTGACTATTGCACCATGAGGCAACGCTTCCCCATCCATTATGAGGACAGCTTCCAAGTGAGAACTCTGAACCTGAACATCCCATGTTGTACAACCATATCTTAGCCGTCCCGCGTCCGTCGTACGAAGCTCCTACAGTTTTGGTAAAACCAAGTTGTCTACATGCAACCTTGGCATCTGGCATATACCAGTTACCTTCGCACACTGTCCCCCATTGGCCCTGGTGATATACTTCCACAAGACAAATGTTGATAACACTATTTTACTTATTTTACTTTATTTGAGATTCTCAAACTTCTTTAGTTTGAAGAGTATTAAGTAACATGAACACTATGTACTTATTGACTGAGTTAGGTCGGGCCGTACGGGAAAATATTTGGCTCGAGGTCATGTCGTACGGACCGAGCGCAGCGAGGTCCGTACAAATGACCTCGAGCCAAATATTTTCCCGTACGGCCCGACCTAACTCAGTCAATAAGCATTTTATCATATGACCCTCACGAAAATAAAAATAATTAAGAAAAAGAAAGCGCGCGGATTCGAGCAGGGCCGGACGGGTTTTTCCGGCCCGCTTACGTCAACCCGTCCGGCCCCCATCACGTGACTTTTTCCAATGGTTTTATTAGAGCGCGCGAGCAGGGCCGTACGGGTCATATGATAAAGTTGAATAATGTTCAAAAGAAAAAATGCACTAGAAGCAACTTACATTGGCATAAAAAGATATAACTAGCTAAAAACTAGTGTGAGCTGCGTCGGTGTTTCTAATGAAACAGTAATGATGAAAAGGTAAATTGTACACCGTGAAAAGATTGAAAAACTTACTGACGTTACGGACGAAGGACTAGCGTCCGAAACGTCAGTAAGTTTTTTCATCTTTTCATGGTGTATAATTTACCTTTTCATCATTACTGTTACATTGGCATATAAATCTAATTTACGAAATAGAAAAAAATATCAGGAGGATCGACTGTTGCACCGAAAAGGCATGCCATCAATCGAATAATACCTCTCCATCATTGTTGTCATAGAATTTGACAATTTTCATTTACTGGCAGGACTAGTATCTATTACTTTCCCCCCTTATCAAGGAATCTATTCAAAATTTAAAACCCAACATATTTTCAAGGAGGACTCAAACAGACTCAAGTCCACCTAGACCGAATAGTGATCACCTCATCATCTACTCCGCTCAAATCAAGTTTCTCGCCACTGACGTGTTTTCAACTGCGTATCTACGACAAACTCTATTGATAATATAAAACAGCACAAGAGAGTATTGTATCTGAATTCATTCGTAAATCACGATTAGATACTGATCGCGCGATCGCGACGCTGGTCGGCGGACAACCAGGAAAACGTAATTGCGGCTTACAGGTAAAAACCTTTAGTAGACGT